TCAAATGTTTAATGTTAATTGGAACTGATAATAGAGATCAAATGTCACGTGCTGTTCGAATGATGCCAAGTAAATGAATAATTCACCGATAAATAGCGCGATACGCGATACTATCTATTAATAATAATGTAGTAATTCACTCTAGTTGAGAACAACTGTTCGCGCAAATAGATTCGTGCGCGACATCGTCCGATAGTGACTGTCCAAGCTCCCAACGAATGGCAAATCCATCATTTTCGCTACCAACGAACAACAATCGTTTCGTAGAACGCCCGAACACTTACAGTTATAACGAGTGAGGTGCGAACCAATTACGAACCAGCTGTATCTATATTTAATGTACGTATAATTTTGATTGTAATTATTAATTGTAATTGTATTTAATTGCAGTTGTAATTACAATTACAATCTATAACGGGAATTCTCTTCTCTTCTCAAATAATTGTCGGACACACAGCCTGTTGGCGATTGAGGCGACTTGAGTCACACTTGCGCAAACATCAACAATTTCGCATTTACGATGTTTAAGCTGCGCAATCAATGCGATATCTCGCCTGGTAGTTGAAACATTGCGCGCGCGCGCGCGCGCGCTCGTATTTCTCGCGACGTGGCACGGCTCCAATTCTACTTTCGCAATCGGGATCGACGAATGCGTCGAGACGATGCGCGATTCGAGAATAAGAAAAACGGATCTGCCGTGTTCGTACTCTGAGACACGATGGGGAGTTTCCATGCGTTGCCGCAGCCTTGACCGCATATACCTGATGTGTGACCCTAATGTTAGTGAATGCCTAATTGCGCAATATCGCCGACCATGAAAAGTAGTAGGAAGGCGATTTATTCGCGCAGCCACGCGCGGACAAAGCGCGATGGCACACAGACAAAGTCGAAAGTTTGACCTTCCTCGTATCGCATCGTATCGCAACGCGCTTCCATCTTGTCGCGTATCGTTCAGCCGCCGCGGAACCTGCACGAAAATCCTTTCACGACGATGTCCCGCCGCGCCGGTCGGAACCGGTTGGCCTTCTGCCGTAAAAGTGCGCTTACCAATGAGGAACTCTTCGCCGTCGCGAGACGAGACTTTTTATCTTCGCTTTTTCCGAGAGCGATTAAACTAAATGACAGACTAATTCGGAATTCAGTGACGTTCGCGGCACATCGGAAAAAGGGCAGGGGAAGACCAACTGAGCCAGGTGATCGATTTCACCGCGTCTAATTATTCCCGGCCACGTGCAGTCAGTCGCGTACGTGACTCCTTTCCATATCAACGCTAAGCGAACGACGATTTGCAAACGATATAGAATCTTGCCGAGGAGATTTCTCTTTTTCTCTTTTAATGTCGGCTGTGCAAAAACGTGCGAAAAGGATTACTCCTATTATCCATATCGGAGAACAAATCTGTGTCTCTCTCCCTTCCCTCAAGATATCGAATCGCAGTGGACGGAGAAATTTATGATTCAGCAAATTAAAACACGACTTGTCCGTTATAACGCAGATATATTAATTAATTTCAGTGAAATGTGAAAAATTTACGGCAGAGTTGGCAGTTGGAAATTTAATATAATTTCGCGAATCGTATAACGTACGTATTTTGTAGGTAGAAAGACAAGTTTATCGATTGATGGACGAACAAAACGCGCTCCATGATTTTGCAAATTTCAGCCGAATGTATCCAATTTCAAAGTCTACTTTTCGCGGAGAAATATGTTGCAACATGATAATAAGATTAATGTTCACTACCGAAGTTTGATTTTCCGAATATCAGATAATTTTCTCCCATTTTTCAATACATACATAAATGTCATGTTTGCGCATTATCTTTAATAATTCGCAGTATTTTCAGTAAGTAGCAGTGATTTGATAACATTGCTTTTAATAATCACAGATTTATTCTAAAATAAACTGTGTCTCTTTTGTTTTTTCGTATTTATATACGAAAAATCGTATATAATTCGTATTTATTCTCGCTTTAAAAGCTACAATAATTTCATCGAATCGCTGTCGATAAACTGCCAGGAAAATAAACAACTCTGAAATAATAATTCAAACTTGTCATATCATTTCCAAGACATTTAATACTAATTAACTCGCAAAAACTTCTATTTTAACTTCTTAAAATGCCACTACATATATACATCTCGCAGTTTTCACAATATTATCTTCTCCACGGGCACATTTCATATTTCGTGGCTACAAGGATAAAAAAAAGAGACTTTACCGCGTGTCGTAATATGTAAAGCTGTTAAATGCACCTTACACTGTTGTAATTTCATGTGTGCCGACACGGTTGTTGCAAAAACTGTTGCTACGTTTGCGGTTTTCTTTCAGGAGGGTTATTTATGCACTCGCGCGAAGTGCTTGTTAAAGTTTTACGCTTCTGGACAAATACGGAGAGCAAACTCACGTTATATTTATGTCAAACTTCAAATTTATATCTCTCATATGCTGCATTTTGTACTCGTATCTGCATTCAAAGACTTCACGCGGGAAGCAAGAGGGAAAGAGAAGAATGGGGGAGAGAAAGGAGAGGAAAAAGGCGCGCGCGAGAGAGAGAGAGAGAGAGAGAGAGAGAGAGAGAGAGGGAGGGAGAGAGAGAGGGAGGGAGAGAGAGAGGGAGGGAGAGAGAGAGGGAGGGAGAGAGAGATATATATATATATGCCATTATCGGGTTTTAAACAAAATTATCATCGTGTTATGATATTTGTTCACAAAGAGCTAAAGCAAAGAGTCCTTCCCCTCCCCCTTTGACTCGATATTTAACCGCTTCAATGAGTTCAACCCAATTAATGATCGTTTCTCGGAATTACCTCGAAACCATTAATTCGATATTTAGTTTATATATTTAACGCACTTTTGCACAGCCTCTTGCTACTATTACGCGCGTAATTCGATACGTGGATTGAAACCGACTCCGACAAAGCGCAGCAAAATTTTGTAAATTGCTTCGGTTCACTATGATTCCCATGGCGGCTGTAGCGATAGTATTGCCTACCTCGATTATACGAAACAACACGTCCCTGCGCCTGTACGAACGCGAGAGAGAGAGAGAGAGAGAGAGAGAGAGAGAGAGAGAGAGAGAGAGCCAAAGCGAATGTGGCCCGCGCCGATTTACCTACCTCGCGTTTTCGGCCGCGGCCGGCCGACTAACTGGCCGGCTATTTATTTATTTATTTTTGTATCGGCGATTTTGTACAAACGCGGCGCGCTCACGTGACGACGTCTCTGATAAGACCGCGCAAACATTTCCCGAGACGTGATCTTTGACGAGATTTTGCTGTCACTCCTGCTCGCTTAACCCATTTATCGGCGAGCGAGTGCGCTATATCTCGTGACGCGCACGACGGAGTTAAATTTACTCGTAGCAAATGTGACGGAGGACGGTTTATGCTAATACCGCTGAATTCAGTAGCAGTCGCACCGTTTCTGTGTACGTTTCTGCGGCTGATGCGACGCCGCGTCGCGTCAGAAGGACGCGAATACGTGCCAAAAAATAATGCAAGAGGAAATTTCGGGTCAAACGGCCTTAACGAAAATTTCATCCATGGGTTATCTCTTGTCTCTCGGTACTGGAGTCTCGTTACGTCGTTAAGTAATTCGGTAATGAAACTCGAGATAATGAGACACGTGCCACGTGGAAGAAAAAAGAATAAATTTTCATTTACGGGATAAATGCGCGCGCGGGCGCACACTCGTGCGGAGACGCAGGCCAAAAATTAAATCCAGGAGGAGATTTTGGGTAAAGTGTTTTAATGAAAATTTAATTTGTGAATCTCGCGGTTCTTGAATCTCTGCTATTAAATAACTCGGTGATGAAACTTAAAATAATGAAAAGTACCTGCGGAAAAGGATACCTCTATTTAACGCTAAACCGTGGAAGCGTGGAAACCGTGTAATACGCACCGAATGACACGAGAACAAAGTTCCAGAGGGACTGTCTTCTAGAAAAAAAAAAATCGGTAAACCGCGATATCGCTATAATAAATATTTAAGAAGCTGTTATCTATACTCAAGTATTCTCTTTCTGTGACATAACTCGCGATAATGAAGTTTGGGATAATGAAAAATATCCTCGTGTAAAAATTCTTATTTAAGAAGCGACCGCAGATTTTGCTCCGAAAACGATGCAAATGCGCTCGGAAACGAAACTCGAGACGGGGACTTTGCGGTAAAATGACTTTAATGAATCCACAGTTTGAGAACTTTATCTGTCCTTTAAGCTGGGCGTTGTCAAATAATTCAGCAACGAAGCTTGAGATGATTAAAAATGCCGTTGCGCGCAAAAGAGGAATTTCCCTTTAAGGGACAACTTTGTACAAGAATTTTACACAGACGCAGATCTTGCGCGACAACAGCTGCAAAGATATCATCCTGCGCTATCATCCTAGTTTGTAACCGCATTATGCGGATGACTGCCTTTAAATCAAAACTTCGGTGCTTTGTTACGTACATTCTACCGCGCGATGTAAAATGTAATCCTACACATTTCTGCCTTGTCACGTAATCAACAAAATGTTAAATTCGGGTGAACAGAACATAAATTTGGCGATGATTAAACGGAACGAGAGTGAGAGAGAAAGAGAAAGAGAAAGAGAAAGAGAAAGAGAAAGAAAGAAAGAAAGAGAGTTTATCGTGTGCGTGCCGGCAAAAACTTTTAACAAACATCGGTCGAAAACATCGGTTTCTTGCAAAATTCACGTTTAATCGGGGTTATTAAACAATCAAGCGGCGGCGAGCTCCGGGAACATTGAGCTCAAAAATGGAACTACCCGACCGTGAAAAGTTAAGTCAATGTTTAACCGACGAATAGCTAACTGTGTGTAATCTTTGCATTCGGAGTTCACGGGGAATACCGGGGGGGGGGTCGAGTTGCTTAATAATACAACGCCGGTCTAACGAACGAGCCTCGAGTTGTAACGAACATGTAATTAATCGGCAAAATTTGATGGTCAGTGAGTGATTCGATGCTGCTAGCGATAAAGTATGCTCATAAACGATATTACCGCATCGGCGGGTGCCAAGTTGAAGACCGTTCTGGTCATCCCGGTGACAAACTCCGTAAACGCTCTCGCAAGCACAAACGCGACCGCACACGCAACCACTGTGTGATCCCTCAAGCGTCCTACAGCGTCGGCAAAAGATCAATTTGACTTCTCAGCTGCATCTGAATACACAGATTGCCGGCAAGATCCGCGCTCCTAACGCCAATTCCCCGGCCCATCCCAACCACCTCGGAAGCTCCGCAAAGATGTGGAAGACCGAGCACGAGTCACAAACGAATCACAGATTAACGGAGTCCCCTCTGACGAGTCGGATGCGCATTTTTCGCCAACCGACACACAGATTTCCCCACTGTCGTGGAATCGGGAAGGATACACCTGACGGGCGAGTTTCTATCCGACCGGCGCTTTCAAACACGGCGTGTGTTCCTCGTCGAGGCTCGCGACCAACCTCTCTCTTCTCCTCGCCTCTCCAAGAGAAACAAACAGAGAACCCTGACAGAGGCCGATGAATCGGCCCGATCGGCGCGCGACAACTCTCGCGAATCACTGTCGCACTCTTCCGTGTCACACCGGCCCGGCCCGGCAGGCGGACTTTGTGGCGGGTCGCAAACGACTGCGGAACGAGAGCGGCGACCAGCAACCTTCGACGGTCGACGGCGCACTGGAGCAACCATCCGCTTCAGGTTGCGACCAAGTCTACCTTACCGACGCAGGCGTCCTTGACGGGCGAGCGCAAGTGAGCAAACGAGCGAGAGCGGGTGGGCAGGCGCGGATCACTGTGCTAGCCGGATAGCACGGAAACCCCGAAGAAGGAGCAGAAGGGAAAGGGGCAGGATAGGGCAGCACAAACTCATCGGTTGTGTAGATACCTGTTGAATGCACTCGCTCGAGGTGGGGAGGAAGTGCTGTCGCGACGAGCCGGGGAAGTACCGAGCGCCGTTGCAACCGCCACCGCCACCGCCGCCGCCGCCGCCAGCGAAAGGATCAGAGTCGATCGAATCTCCGAAAACTCATCTCCAACAGCGGCCGGAATACGCCGGCTCTCCGCTAGCCGTTGAATTATGATTTACCTGCGAGCTTTTGTGCAGATAATTTGTCGAGGCTGTTTACGCGATAGAATTTTCGTGCGGGACGAAATCCGACCGACGTGGACGCGAAACTCGCACACCGTTGCCAACATCTGTATTTGCATTGTAAATACATGTTATCTCGATCGAGCAATCAAGTCTATGGACTATTCGCGTCTATCGTTACCGTAGCAGTCACGTGAATTAAAATAGCTACGTATCCGGAAAACGTGTGCGCACACTCAGCCAGAAGTGAAAGTGAGGTCTTCCTCCCTCTCCCTCTCCCTCTCTCTCGCTCGCCCGCTCTCCCAATTCGAAATTTCATCGGCCGAAACTCCCCGGCAACCGACCGGTCGATTCAGCTTCGCGATTTTGTACAAACTCCTACACGGCCGCGGAAAGCTCCACGTAAATTGGAGGATTTTTTACGAGCCTAACCCCAGCCCCGTGGATTAATGTCGCTGTCGCAACTGTCACCGACACGATTCGAAGGCACTTGGGATGGGCAAGTCGAACCCGGCTGTCGATGCTCAAGGAGGGTCGCGCGGCAGCCCGCGCGGTTACGGTTAAGAGCCTCGAAATTACGCCCGTCGACGATAGGAAGTTACGAGCCGGATTGAGACTCGTGATTACGGCGGTTCCCCCACGAGATATAACGAGCGGCTGAAGAAAGAGAATCGATTGCGATCGCGCGGCGCACACGGAAGCATCCGGAACGGGGAGGATTCGGCATCCGCGAGTTCGCGTTCGGACGCGAGTATTCTCTCGCGCGCGGCGGCAAGAAATCAAATTGCTCCGCGGCGCGCCGGCTATGGCAATCACGGGCTTTTCCATCTGTGAGTAATCAAAGCTGGCGGATACGTCGTGTCGTGGTCGTCGTCGAGGGGATCCGCTCTCTCTCTCTCTCTCTCTCTCTCTCTCTCTCTCTCTCTCTCTCTCTCGGCGATCGGAACATTACGAGTCCGGACTCGTGGCGCGTATCCCGACGCTAATCCCGGTGTAACTTTATCACGCGATTGTTACAGGAGACGCACGCTATCTCGGGAGCGTGGTGGCCGCATATTTCGGTATCACATACCAAATGAGTTTCGGGTTTCGACAAAAGAGGAAGGACCGCTTCGTCTTCGACGCGATGAAGCTTTACCGTGACTTTGTCGGGACGGAAAAGGCTCTCATCGTGTCGACTTATTTCTATTGCCAATGCTGGCACTCGCGGTAATACAAGGGGGGAAGGGGTCGTCGTAAATAAAAGGAATGATAAAAGACGTGAACCGCAATTACTGGCGGCAATCCATGTCGCTCCAAAAATGTCTTAAAATACCCTGTATCGTCACGTGAGTCATTACAATATATTTTCACCTTTTATAGAGAGAAAAATCAAATCTTTAAAGTTTCTTGTCTCGGTAGAATTATTGGACCAACTTTATACTTCTTTTGTGCTACGATATTTCTTGAATTCTCTCATTTTTCTATCTTTTTTTTAATATGTAATAAGAATAAGGATATATATATATATATATACACATATATATAAATTCAGGAAAATGGGAAATAAACAAAATCGCGAGTTACATCTGACAATATATCGCGTAGTTCGAATTTCAAGCGCGTCGTCTGGAGCTCGACGATAAAATTATCGCGCGCTCCCGTCTCGCGGAGCCGTCGAGATGGTGGCGAAATTATACGGGTGAGATCGGCGGAAGTGCAAAGTAAGGACGATCGCAGACAGCTCTGCTGAAATTTTCAAAATTACGCCCTATGTCGACCACTTATTTAACACGCGCGCGCGCGACGTCGGTAATAGTTGTAGCAAAGGAGCAGAGAGGCATTAATTTTACAAGAGCCGAAATTGTTAACCTGCAATTTGTACAGCTAAGTACATTCATTAGACTCGCCAGTCCTAGATATTTGGCCATATTTGGCTCTGTAGAATTGGCGCTATTTCTTCAGATTATTATCGTAAATCGAATTATGATTCTCTTGACACGTAATAATTTATCGTAATTTAAAATCGCACATTTCTCTCTCTCCCTCTCTCTCTCTCTCTCTCTCTCTCTCTCTTTCTCTGCCTCTTTATTAGATATTCCCGAATATATATTACATCCAATTATTCCTTACATTTACTTACGTATATTACTTCCTCAAATTTATCAAACGAACAATTCAGAGCGCGATACTTATGGCATTAGCTGACAGCGATAATTGCTGCTAAGTGGTCGATAATTGGCGACAATTTGTACGAATTATCGGCAATTGCGCAGGAAAAAGTTTATAAAAGAGCGCTACGGCAAGAGAAAGCAAAATAGAAAATGATATGCCTTCGTTTAGTATAGAATACAACGATAAATTCTTGAATAAACTCTTGAACAAACTCTGGAACGAATTCCGCCCGCAAAGGAGATTTCGCAAAAGCAACGATACTCAAGAGATCGCACGGATCTTAAATCTGCGATAAAAATGTCATTTCACGGATATCGTTGATATTTCCGACGTTTGTTGTCTTATGCCGTCGATGCGGCGAATTCGAGAAAACGCGAGAAGTCACAAAAGTTATAATCAGCATGCGATATGATTTTAATTTCCACGTTTAATTTCCACGTCTCACGAAAATGACTCAATTGTAGGTAAACAGGTTGACTATTTCGATCCCCGTGCGCAGCATGCGCGCGGTCGGCCGGTAGAAATAAACAGCTCACGCGTGCGTCCGATATAATTTCGCGATAGGTGCGGCCCTCGAAAGAAGACGGAAATCGAAAATAAGAGTAGAACGCAGCTACATCCGATAAAACGCTTCCGTGAATAACCGAGTGCGCGCGTACGCGCGCTACATCTTTCGGAATACCGCAGTTCCACGGTAAAATAAACTAGTTTCAAGTTTTACACTTTGTCTTAAAAGCTCTGTAAAAATTTTAGGAAGTTGCATTATATACGAGACGTTTCAGGCCTGGCCAACCGAGTCACCCTTTTGCACGGGCTTTTCCTGCCTCGATTCAGCACTGTTTCTTCTTAACACAGAAACATAAGAAAGATAACGATAGCTCTCTTGCTTTAATTTACAAGCGCACGCAAAAGAAATAGGGATGTATACACGTATGTGTACAAATGTATACACGTTAATTGCAGATTCCCCGATCAAATTAAGGAGAATCATTCCTTAGGGGAGGCTATCGTGTGTGCATGCGTGAAATATACTTGCGGAAATGGTCCGCACTAATATAGCCTGGTATTAATGAATGCATTTCAAAGGGTTGATTTGCATACACCAATAGTCAATTACCATAGACATAAGCCGAGAGCGAGTTGCCGCCAACGCGCAATAGTATTATAATATATTTAGTGTGCCGCTAATACCACAAAAAATAGCCAGTCTATACATATTGATAAAGCTCTTATGCAAATTAGCTATAAAAACTGGCAATCCGGAGACGCTTTTAGGACCCGAGTATTCCGACGGAAATGTGTTCTCGCTTCGCGTACACTTTATCGAAATAAAAATTAGTTGTAGCCTTTACTGCCTGAACAATAAAATTTCGCCTACAGTGGATTCATCTGAAACATACCACGAATTTGATAAAACAATCTTTAATGACGGAACAATGGCTATAACTGGTGGCCATATTGTTACTACTTGATCGTTTCAAAGTGAACTCCCCTCGTGTGATATATCACCCCCTCTGTTTCTGCGCATGTTTCATCGCTTTTTACATGTCTGCGTTCGACTGAGAGAGAGAGAGAGAGTCGATAATTATTCCTGAGGCTTGAATTATGCGGCCGGCATAATTCGAACCTTGCTTGAAAAACGCGAGGTAAGCTCCGAAGCTTTCGTGCAGATTCGCCAAGAGCAAGAAACATCACATTTATCTATTTCCCATCAAGTCTACGGCAAGCCCTTAGACGCCCTCGTTTCTGTTTCTCGACACTGCGGTGTGGTGTATGCACTGAACATACGGAGAATGAGGCGTAATAACGGCGCGAATTTCGGCGCGTTAAAACGCGCCGGAAGAGTCAATAAACGGCGAGCAAGGGATCCAGGGTAAAAGTGCCGTGAGGCGTCGGCAAGGATACGTCAAAAGGTTTTCGCGCGCAAGTCGGGCGGTAAATGAGCTAAACGGCTCCGGGGCAAAGGCTGGCGTCAAAGGGGAATTCAGCAACCGCGCTAGGTGAAATTCTTGACTCTGCCCCCAGGACAGTGAATTACCACCTAGCACGCCACCTAGATTGCTATTCGCGCGGACTGACGTCCGCCCTTGCTATACGGGGAGGACTCTGTCGCGACAGGAGAGTGCTCTTCGCACCCCGGAGATACCCTGTTCGTCCTTATTAATGTTTTCGGTCATTCGACGTGCGCGCGAGCGCGACATGGCCGTGCGAGAATGCCCTGGAAAATTTGCATTCACAAAAGTGAAAAGAACCGCGATGTAAAGAACACTTGATCGCATCAAATCCCTTTCAATCCCCTTTCAAGAGCGTCGGTCTTGGGGAGGAAAGCTTGTTTCGACGGCGACATATCTAATGACTAATGATCAAGCGTAGCCGTAGGCTATCTTGACAATTGACGGCAAGAGAATATTTAATTGCGTGTC